TGCTGAAGCAGGAAGAATCTGTTTGAAGCCACAGTTGCCTCAGCCTTCGGTTTATGCATAATCCTGGGGAAGAAGGCGTAGGTTTAACAGTGGACCAGGTCTCAGAGCTGTTGTATCTTTCCTCGGTCTCCAGGTTACGTAGAGTTTCTCTGATGCTTTTGGGGAAACAAATTTCTAAGGGGATAAGGAGTTTTTAACGTCTCTTGCCGCAGCTGCTGTTGGGTAGCCTCTTGCCTGGGTTCCTCGGCCATGGTGGTGGTTGAGAGGCAGCAGGGCTGGGTAGCTGAGGATAATTAACACTGGTCAACACAGCCCTTCAGCCATCCCTAGGCTTAAAAGATGCTTTTGTGATAAAGCAGCACTGTGCATCCCCAACCACTAGCTTGTGAGCGTGGCACCTCTGTGAGTGGGGCTGCAGGGAAGGCACAGCTGTTCTCCTGAGGCACCCAGTGCTCAGCTCCAGGCTGCGGGGTGGGATTTTGGTGTCGCGTTCTGGACAGGACCAAGCTTCCGGAAACGCGTATTTTGTCCGTGATCACCAGTGTTAGAGTACAGGCAGTAATAATAACGCTTCTGGAAAGTAACAATGCTTCAGCTCTCCTGAAGCTGTTAAGGTAGGTGGGTTGTGGTGTAAGGTAACTTACCTCCCCTGAACAGTTTGGGTTAATAACCGTCACTAGTAAAACCATCTTGCCTTGTTCTAGTACATGACTTGACAGGTGGAAGAGTGAGTTCTATGGCTGTAAACTCTTTGATATCCTTTTTTTAAATACCTTGAGTGTTTTAGCTTTACACTGTGGGGGAAGGCTGCCTTTTTAAGGATTGCCTTACTAGTTTTTGCAATTACTACTTTTGACTTTTCTAGCCTTGAGAGGAGTGCTGAGGAAAGTGGTGAAGGCTTCAGCTGAGTGTGTTCTTGCAGCCTGGAATCAGCCAGGATGATGGCCATTCAGGCACTTGAGCAGAGGAGTGTTGAAAAGCGGAGCAGTTGACCATCTGCTTGGCTCTTATCAGCTGGGGATGGATGTGGTTTCCTGGCTGGATTCCTGCCAGCCAGTCAGTGGTGATGTTGGGGAATAGCAAGTGGGGACAGTTGACTTCAGGTGTTCATGCAAACACTTCATCTTCTCCATTTGGTTAAGTGGGCATAGGAATAGCTCTGTTGTAAACTCCTGTAGTCAAATGAGAACAGGATTTAACACTGGACACTACAGGGCTGAAGAGTTACAAACCTGGAACGGGCTTATTCTAGGTAATTTGTAATTATTCACAATTACAAAGCAAAATAACTGGTGCAAGTGGTGGTTTGTTGCTTTTTTCTGCTACTTGATCTCCAGTATTAAACTGCCCCATTAGTCTTCTGAGTGACCCAGAATAGAACGACCCGCCAACAGTGAAGTCTTCAGTGCTCTGAAGGATAAGGTTGGGTTGGTTATTGATGATACTGTGCTTCTTCCCTCAATTGTGGGGAGACTCAGCATCAAGCAAAACCAAATTGTCATCTCTTCCAAAGTGACTTGAGATACTACTCCTGACATCATTCAAGAGAATGAACGTATCCTCATCTGGCAACGGCAACTAAAGCTTTAGCTTTACTTCCTGAAAGGCACGTGGAGTACGTGGTCACTGTCAGCTGTTAAGAGTCTGTTGTGGAAGGAGGGTGTTCGTTTTGCTTTAGCTCGGTGTTCATAGTTTGTGTTGTGCTGCTGGATTCTGCTGGAACTTTGGGTGGTTTAAACTGAGGGAAGACGTGGTTCCTTTGGGCAGCTACATGGTACTTGTGAAGGTGGGGGATGGAATCAAGCCTTTGACTTTGGAGAAGATGCATAGGGTGATGGCTCTGTTGGACAGCAGGCTATTGCTACCCTCTGCCTGACTCAGTGAGGCTTGCCCTTAATTTGAAAGCATGGTTTTAGTCTTGGCTAGACCACAAAGGGCTGAAGTAGGAGGGACTGCGTTAATCTTGGTGACAGTCACACCAGTATCCCCAGAGTAACTTCCTAGCAGGGTGCTACACAAATGTGGCATTGAGAGCATCTGCCTCGCACTTCCCTTACCAGGTGAATTAAACAGACTGAGTTTCTAAACTGGATGGAGAAGCTTGGGAGTTGTGGGTGACTTCCCTAGCAGTCAATTAATTTACCCTTCTCAAACTTAGTAACATCCTAGCTTTGAGGAACTTGGTCCCTGATAACATGTTTCATTAAATGACTTAATTGTGGTTTTTTTTTTCCTTCTGCAGTGACTATTTATTCAAGCTACTTCTGATTGGAGACTCCGGTGTTGGGAAATCTTGCCTTCTACTTAGGTTTGCAGTAAGTGATCATGTTTGAAAACTTGATGTAAAAACCAGGTGCTTAGCAAGCACTTCTCTGCTTCGCCAGCTGCTGGGAAGGACTGGTGTACCAAGGAGTAACCAAAGTACTGCAAAGCCTTCCGGTGTTCTGCATTTGTTCCTAGCTGATGTATTTGCTTATGGGTGATATGGAAAGAAATAATATCAAGTATATGTCCAGTTTAGTTTAATTCTCACTTTCCTGTTACTTGGAAGTTAAATTGAGATGCCTTCTCACCATAACGCTAGTGGTAGAATGCTGAAGATGGACGAACATACTTTAATTCTGAGGTGTGTGCCTTCAGGCATAAAGAGTACAAATGTGGCAGGACAAGACCTTGATCAGTTACTACTTGATCTGAATATTTTCAGTCAGATGACGTTTGATATTTTCATTGAAAAGGCCTACCAATTGCTTAGCCAGAGGGAGAAGTAATTTAAATAATAATCCAGGAATAATAAAGCCTTATGCTTCCTTTAGTGAATGAGTTCACTATAAATGTTAGAATTACTGGTGGGCTGCTGTGGCTGAAATCTGAGGCAAGAAGCCCTGGTTTTCCTGTCAACAGGAAGAGCTAAAATGGGTCTGACAGCTCTTAGTAGGAAAAGCTGGAGTCCAGTGAACTCCTTATCGATGGCAAAGTGCAGCTTTATGTTGCCATTAGAGAGAGGAAGGGAGAATGTGGGTATTAGCTTAGAAACTAGAGTTTGATACTTCTGCAAGGTGGCAGCAGTGGTTTCACAGCCTGAACGATTGCTGTAGGCACCCCTGGCAAGAGCCTGCCGTGTTTCATGTTCCTAATGGTCTGGTGTGTGCAGACAGCGTGGCCCACGTCAGAGCTGCTACAGCTGCCGTTTGTGCAGTGTTGGGGCGGGGAGACACTGAAACCGGTCCCAACGCTAGAGAGACGTAACCTTCTCTGCTCACAGAGCTGGAGGCAGTGGATTGGGAGCGGCACCGAGGCTGGAGCAGTACTCCCACATCAGTTTAGCCTGCTTCTCTTGCAGGGATCAAATTTTGGCTTCACTTGAATCATCCACCTTGTCATAGCCAGCTTAAGTTGGTCCTTATCTGGTGTTTCTTCAGCTAAGTTGCTTTTTTCCTTTAGAAGTCTGGCTTTTTAACTAAGCTGTATTACTTTGACATAAGGGATTATTGCAGCGTTCACTTAACCTATGGCAAGAAAACCACCGTTAAACGGCATCAGGCTTTTCAAGCCCATCCCTTGGAGTGTTGAACTGCTAGGGCAGTAAATGTGGTGTTCTAAAAGGCTTCATGCTTTACTCCTGCTCGCGTGTGCTCAGACAGATGTGTTACCTGAGGGGTCTGCCATTCACAGCCCAAAGAAACCCCTTGCTTTTGTGATAGCTGTTGGCTGCATGAAGCCTTTTGTGGGGTATCTTGCATGAAGTTCTATCCTACTGGTACTTTAAGAATAGAAATTTCCTTCGTGCCGGCAAGCTGACAATCACTAGAAGGTAGCAAGGACCAATCCAGCGCTTCCTGTGCGCCTTCGGGCCTGGCGGTGACTCTGCAGTCGGGTCCCTGCGAGCTGCTAAACCAGTGCTGGCGTTTTCCTTCCTGTGCTGGCACAGGCAGCAGAGCAGAAGGCTTAACCCGCGTACCCCAACCTGTAACCAAACTGCCTCGGCAGCCAGCTGTGGCGGCAGAGGAGCTGACGTTCAGGTGTGGAGGGCCATGGAGGCACAGCCTCTGACTTGCAGGTAGCTGACAAATGACAAAACATCAAAGAAAAATAAAACCGAGGCATTTTAATAACCATAATGGTTATTGTAAGTAACTCTTCAGTCTGCCAGTGCAAGCAAAGACTGGTTTTTAAACTGCAGTTCAGGAGGACATAACACTACAGGATTTCAAGGAAAAAGGCTTTTTGACTAGTTTTCAGAACACAAATCTTGTTGTTTGAGGTGCTCTAAAAACTTGGCAGAGTTATTGAAAAGTAAGCACTCAGTGAAAATGCCTGGTGACCCGCTGGCGTCTGCTGGGAACGATGGGACTGCTTTGGCTGGGAGCGAAGTACCCGTGCCCGGCTGCTGCACAGTGGAGTAGGTGGCTGCAGGAGAGGTGCAGCTGGCTTGACTTCCATTCGCTTTTTCTCCTAGGATGACACGTACACGGAAAGCTACATCAGCACGATTGGTGTGGACTTCAAAATCAGAACTATAGAACTAGATGGGAAAACAATCAAGCTTCAGATAGTAAGTAGTATTTCTCAACTCCTGGGTGCTTTAATTTGTTGAAGCATGGACTTACACTCAGTTATCTTTGTACTTTAACCATTAAAAGTATAAGCGGTATCTTCCTTGTTACAAGAGGCTGGGTGGTTTTTAAAAGATGACCAGACTTCCTGTGACCTTAAAGAAGGATGCTTATCAATCCTGTCTGCCTGGAGGAGGAAGTGACATCCGTTTCCCTGGGAAGAAAAGCAAGCTTATGTATTTAAAAGGCACCACGGGGCTGTGAGCTAAAGGAGGGTAGAATCCTGTGCTGGAGTGCTGCCCTGTCACAACGGGTGTGGTTCTGCAGCACTTAGCAAGGCTTTATGTCAGTGCAGGAACATGGCACGGTTGTCCAAGATGCTGGAGTTCTACAGCAGCTGTTGATAGCAGACTGCACTGTCTGGTGCTGGGAGCTGCTTCTGTTGAGCTGAACAGAAAAACTGACACAAATGCCTGTAACTGGCCTGTCTGCCTTTGCTCTGGGATGTGTTTTCTGGTTCTGCTGTTGGCCTTTCGCTTGGACTAAGTGGGGGGAGAGACTTGGCATTCCTCTAATCTTGAAGCAGTCTATTAAAGGGTGACTGGTGTAATGAAATCTAATATTGGTGCAAGGTCACAGGAGCCTTGTCAGCCACTGCTTCCAGCTCAAGGCAATGACTCAGGGATTTCAGGCTCTGTTGTGGAGCGGGAGCCCAGGTTATGGCCGGAGTACTGAGTCTCCAGGCTCTAATGTAGCTGTCCTGAGTCCAGGGCAGCCCACTAGGAATGTCATCACTACTGAAATCTCTCTACATCTGACTATTTTTAATATGCAGCTAGCCCTATTCTTGACCTGGCTCGAGGGAGAGAAATAACTTGGGTGAGTGCTGTTCCTGTGGTAGGGGGAAAGGTCAAGTACCTATTGTCCCTCCTTAATTGTCCCAGCAGGAGAAGGGAGCCAGGCTTGGTTTCGTTGTTGCGCTTCATCCTGTGAAGAGGAAGTTGCCTTTAAGTACCTCTGCTGCAGCTCCTGTACCAAGAGAGCTGAAGGGAGTGGGCATGTGTGGAGACCCTCGTCTCTGACCTTACCCCTAACGGGCTTTTTAGCCTGGCTCGCGTTTGTTCTTGGAACCACTGAACCCTGGCTCTTCATGGGTCAAAACTTCACGCTTCCCTCGGTGAGATCTCCTAACTACACTTGTCAGGAACCAAAAAAAATGAGCGTTTCTAGAGAAGTGCCTACAGCCGTGTGGGTGGTGCGGGGCTGTTTTAGTTAGGGTTTGAGAAGGCCAGGGTATTTTATTTGATGGGTGCCGTTTCAGAGCCACTTCTGTGGCTGTGACTCGGATAGGCTGGTAGTTGGATGGCTGATCAGCTGAGCTGTGTTTTGTGGAAGCAAAGGCGCGACGCGGGTACAGCTACGCTGTGGTAACGGATCCCGCTGTTTGTCTTGTAGTGGGACACGGCAGGACAGGAGAGGTTTCGCACGATCACTTCCAGTTACTATAGAGGTGCTCACGGCATCATAGTTGTGTATGACGTCACGGACCAGGTAAGTGCTACACCTGTCCCTGGGGAGTTTCTCCGGGTGGGGTATGCTAGGCTGTTAAGTAAGGAAAACTGGGAATTTAACAACTTGACACTTCTTAAGGAGACAGTGACTCTGTTGAGGTTTGTTAAGCCAAAGGCACCTGTTAGTCGCTGGTTTGGGGCGAAATGTAGAAATAAGAAACAGTGGGCTCTGTGGCTCTGAAGCAGTTGTTTCAGGGTGAGTCTAAGACGCTTGCTGGCCAGGTAATTGTTCTACAGGAATACTTGTAACCCTGCTTTGGTAGCAGGAAGTCTGACTTGCTGATGAAAGATTTCTGAACGTCCCTGAACTCTGGTCTTAGAACAGAAGCTGGCATTTGAAACAGAAAGTTGCCAGCATGTGTGCAGGATACAACTGAGCTAGTGTTTTCTGTGAAAGCACCTCTGGCACAGCTGTCCTGTGCAAAGGGCTCCAAACAAGTGTAGAGTTTCCTGAATCCATCGAAAAAGAACAGTGGGGTTCAGTCGTGAACCTGAGTGTCAGTTGAGCAGGGCAGTTCTGCCTCTGTGGAGTCAGAGGTTGTCCCAAACCGCGTGGTTTGCACTCAATACCTGCTGCTCCGTACATGCCTGGGATTCTTCTGGCTTCTGCTGTCTCTTATCTCTCCTACAGGAGGAGGAGGAGGAGTCCCAGGTGGTAGAAGCTGTTGACTGTTCAAGGCACGGAGCAGGGAAAAACAAGATGGGGGAGGGAGTGCAGCAAGGGAGGAAGGGCTGACTGTGTCAGGCGTGGAGCAGGGACTGCGGAGTTGCAAAGACCCTGCGAACTCCCCCGCCCTGGGGCGCGCCGGGGGGAGCGCGGTGGTGCAGATGAGCCCCGTAGCATTCCAGTTCTCTCTTGAGAATCCCGCTGCTTCGTTCTTTCCCAGTCACTCCTGGGTAGTGCTGAGCTTTCCCCTCGGTTAAGGGACGTGCTTACAGTTCTCTTATCTCCCAGGAGTCTTTCAATAACGTCAAACAGTGGCTGCAGGAGATAGACCGTTACGCCAGTGAAAATGTCAACAAGTTGTTGGTGGGGAACAAATGCGATCTGACCACGAAGAAAGTAGTAGACTACACAACAGCAAAGGTACGTTGGCATCGGGGGGGTGTTTGCTCTGAGCACGCAGTCTGGGCCGCGAGCCCTCCCGCAGGGGTGCGGTCAGGGCGCCGTCAATGACCCTTTGCAGCGCGAGCCCTCGCGAGAGCGGGATGGGGGTCTGGGAACTTGCGGCGTATCCAGCAGCGCACCCGGAAACAAGGTGAGCTACAAACCCGTTACGAGCTTACTCTTCGCTGTTTCTTGATTTGCAGGAATTTGCAGATTCTCTTGGAATTCCGTTTTTGGAAACCAGTGCAAAGAATGCCACAAATGTAGAACAGTCTTTCATGACCATGGCTGCCGAGATTAAAAAACGAATGGGGCCGGGAGCGACAGCTGGTGGTGCGGAGAAGTCCAATGTTAAAATTCAGAGCACTCCAGTCAAGCAGTCTAGCGGAGGTTGCTGCTAAAACTCGCCTCCCCCCCCTTTTGTCTCACAACAATGAATTCGCAATCTGAACCCAAGTGAAAAAAAAAAAAATTGCCTGAATTGTACTGTATGTAGCTGCACTACAACAGATTCTTACCGTCTCCACAAAGGTCAGAGATTGTAAACGGTCGATACTGACTTTTTTTTTATTCCCTTGACTCCAGACAGCTAACTTCATTTTCAGAACTGTTTTAAACCTTTGTGTGCTGGTTTATAAACGTGTAATCCTCGTTGCTTTTCCTGATACCAGACTGTTTCCTGTGGTTGGTTAGGATGTACTTTTTGTTTCGATGTTTCTATTGGCATGTTTAGACGTCAGGTTTAGTCTTCTGAAGATGAAGTTTAGCCATTTTGTATCAAACAGCACAACAGTGTCTGTCACTTTCCATGCATAAAATTTAGTTAAGGTATATGTAAGATCTGATTTGCTAGTTCCTTCTTGTAGAATTATAAATGGGAAGATCACTATCTGATTAATAGTTTCTTCATACTCCGCATATAATTTGTGGCTGCAGAATATTGTAATTTGTTGCACAATATGTAACAAAACTGAAGAAAATGTTTAATAAATATTGTACTTATTGGAAGTAATATCAAACCGTATGGTGACAAGTATTGTCTTAATTTGTATGGCCGAGGGGGAGGTCAGGCTTGCGGAGCGCATCCCTGCGCAGCTGCGGCGCTCGCGCCTTCCCTGCAGCTGAAAGCAGGCGCTGTGGCCCCCGAGCCGGAGTTGTCACCGTGCTGCCCGTGAGGCCCGGCCAGTGTTGGCGGAGGCACGATGCCCCTGGGACGTACAGCGGTTCCCTAACTTAGCCCTGGGACATAACGTGTTTCTCGAGGACTCGAGGTAGGGAGTTCAGCTCCTGTCCGCTTCACGAGGTAGGGAGTTCAGCTCCTGTCCGCTTCATGTGGCAGGGGAGAGAATGGTCTTTCCCGAACACGAGCGGCTTCAGCGCAGGCCTGAGGCGGCGTAACTTTCTGCCAGTAACCTACGTCTCTTCTAGGTGCACTCTTAGTGCAACAACGGCTCAGCTTCTGCTCCCTTTACGCGTAGAGGCTCCAGCAGGCCGCAGCAGGGACAGCGAGGCCCTGTCACGAGACTGTCGCTCGAAGCGGGCGCTGTCTCTAAATGATGTGGAACAGCCAGGAGGTTTCAGAGGATGTGTGTGATTCCTTGTACAGAGCTAATCGAATCGTTAGTGCCTGACGTCTAGCGCCGAGCCACAGGACAGCTAGCCTATAACACTTCCTGTACGTGTACAATTGTTCAGCTTTACCTAAACTCCAACGTTCAGCCTATTTGTAAATAGTCTCATCTTTGAAAGACCATGTAACATTCCCCTGGTAGTAAATAGGCCCTGTGGTAGTAAGAGTATAGCCTAGGTATGTCGTGAGGTATAAACTAAAACCGGTGCAAATATCCTCTGAATTTTTTTTTTGGGGTGGGGGGGTGACTCGGGATAACGGCTTTCTTCAACATAGTTGCATCGATCAACAGGCAATTGTAATAATACATGAACTATTGTCATGGTTAAGTCGAACTCTTCCACTCGAGACCTTCACAATAAAGTGATGTGCTTTCCAGTAGCGATGCGCTCGTTGGTGTAACTCAGTTTATAACGGGACTTGCTCCGCCGGGAGAGCGGGAGCAGGAGGAGTAGGGAGTGCTGCCAAATTCAGGAAGCAAAGCAGAAGGAGGTGTATTGAGGGTAAAAACATCTTCCCTTCAGAGAAGTGCACAAATGAACTTAAATGTCGAGATGCCTGCTACATACTATCCAAACCGATGTTAATATATACAGTAATAAAAGCATTGCAAAACCAACTTGGGCTACATCAGGTGTCTGGTGGTGGTTTTTTATTCACCCAAGTCCTTACCGCGCTGGAGCCCCTGGGCGCTGGAGCCTGGGGTTGCCAGGC